GCCAAGGACTTCCTGAGCAAAGCCCCAGCTCTGCAACTGTCCCTGCTTCGCTCAGCTGCTGAGAGGTTAACGCACTGTTGCAGATGCTGTCCTGGAGAGGGGTCACACTGTGACCGCATAGAGAAGTCTGTAAAAAAGCAGCTGATGTCCAAAGGTACTTCAAAGAAATTTTAAGTTCAATCAAGGAGAGAAATGTCTTTCTGTATTTCCTCCATATGTAACAAGACCACCAAAATATCAGCACAACAGATGCCCCAGCTGTAGAGATTCACATCATCATAAGGGCACCGAGATGTTACAGCAGAAAGAAGTGCCCTATATGCATACACTATGTACGCTACACATCTTCACCACCAGCTGTTTGTTCTAGCTGTTGTTCATCATCACTGGAAGATAATTAGTTTAAGGGCACAGAAAATACCTATTATAAGGTACAAGGGGGAGAGAAGGCATCCCATCATATCAAATGAATACAAGGGAATCTAAGCTGGGAAGGAAGGAGAGGGAAGGACAAAATAAGGGGTTTCTAGAGCTAACCCTGCCCAGAGTGACACTGCTCATCCCTCCCGCAGTATCTCTATTCTCTTCTCAGACTGTGGGCAGGTGGCCATGGTGCTGAGACCCATCTAGCATGGGCTGCTACTGTGGGGCTAACACCTCCCTTGGCCAGAGAACAGGCTCCCAGACAATCCTGGCAATGAGGCAGGGATCTCAACATGAAAAGGAAAAGTCGGAGGAAAGGCGACGAACTGTCGTAGTGATTTCCATCCATAGCCCTGGCTTTCTCTTAACCTGAAGGGCCTCAACTGAAGGGCTTTTCTGCCCCCAGCCCCCACCCCCTGGACAAGTTTATTTTTTGTTTGTTCATTTTTAAACAGGGCAAAGATACGAACCAGAGACTAAGCTTTGCCAGCTTAACATTTTTTCAAATGTTGCTCCATAGGGTCTCTCTTGCTTTACTGTGGTGCAACTGGAACCAATTCCAATCCCTTGAGGAAGAATTTCAGTTTCAAAGGTTTACTTTTTTGTTTTCACTGGACGGGTGATGGTCAAACCCTTCCATGTGCCCTGCCCGGGGCAGATCCCCAGCTGCACGTGCCCCGCTTCCCCACACCGCCCCAGCCTGATTAAGGAGAGTCTCTTGTCCCGGGAGAACTGTGGGAAGTTCGGTCTCCATGTTCATACAAACTTTGCGCTCACTCAGACTGTCAACAAGGGCTCCAGCCAGCTATGTCCACTGTTTATTTTGATAGTGACTGTTTATTACGAACAGAACTATATTCCTAAACTCATTTTGCACAGACTAAGAAAAAAATGTCTGCTGAGCACAGCACAGCCTCTGCTAGGACTCTCACTAGCAGAGGTCAGAGGGGGGGATGCTGCTGCACAGTTATTACAGAAGCACTGGCACATGGTCACGGGGGAAATGGTTTTCCTGAAGTTGTACTGCAGAGCAGTTGCAGAACTGGATGTAGAAGCCAGTTTTCAAGACCGACAGTCCAAACCTGAAGCAACCTGAGGTCAAAGTCTCTCCCTGCCCCACTGCCAAGCTCTGGAGATACACAGGCCACCCGAAACTCTCTGAAATGGCGCACTGGAAACCCATCTTCTTGTGAATTAAACATAACCAGGAGACCCCAAAGCGCAGATGGGAAACCAAATCATGGTGTTCTGGCCACACTCAGAAACACTCCCAATGTGATAATACAGGTCCCAGGTTTAGCCGTTTAAAGGACAAAGGGCACTAGCAGGCAGCATCCCCAGAGAAGTATGCTGTCCTGTGGGTACATCACTAACAGCTGGCAACTAAAATAGGATGACAGCTTTGGAGGCTGTGTTTGGAGGGCACTGAGCCCCTCAGCTCCTGCTGCCTTCAAAAATACAAAGGGATGCACAACACTTCACAAACAAGACTAAAAATGTCTAGATATAAGTTGCAAGGAATAAAATGCATATTAAGGTAAATAAGTGATGAATGAGTCAATGTCTAAAATGAATGGCTTGAGATCTTCATGAACGTGGATTCCCTTAAAGAAGTCTCACCATACTACCTTGGTACCTCTGTGAGGACCTGTTCCTTGCGTTTATGTTGACTTGTGAGCTCTGCGATTTGTAACCTTTGTTTCTAGCAGCTGCCTTTCCCTTTAGCTGCTGAACTGAGACTCTGCCATGACTTAAGAATAAAGATGGCTACTTGTTAAATTAGAGGTCAATTAACTCCACCAGTAGATGATGCCGCTTGCAATAACTGTTCTCAGTGGGTACCACTCTTCCTGTACGAAGACAGAAGACGAAATGAGGCCTCCATTGGCTCAGGATGCTCTCTCGGGTACATGACATACAGCCCTGTGTATAAAATGTCAAAACAGCCCTGTCGGAGATTCACTGGCTGCTAAAACTGTGAAGATCTCACAGCACCGTGGATTGCTGTTGACAGAATAGCAGCGCCCAACATAACACATGCCTTGTTAGCAAACTGGAAGCCTCTCAGTAGTCTGGGGTGAGGGAATAATAGAGGAAGCCAATGCAACACAAGCCAGGCCTGCAGAGAACAGCAAGTGAACGAACCTTGGCGGAGAGTCCAAGCAAACCCTCAGACTAGCTCTTTCTTCCCCCCTTTCAAACTCTCTCTTCTGCAAACATGAGCAGTTTTCAATGAGCGCTTCCCACCACGTAACTCAGCTGCTGAAATCAGCAGCATCTTCACCAGAAATGCGTACGACTGCCACAACTGGCCTGCACAAAGCACTGGGAAAGCCCCACCGCCAGTTTTTAGACAAGCTAGACCTAAGGCGACACACCGACCATCCCACCATGCTGGTGGCTCTCCCCTACATAAGCAGCTGGGTCCTTGCTTTTGGCACTCCTCCTGGCCACAGGGCACCCCAGCCAGCGGTGGGACACCACAGACACCCCAAACCAGGCCAGGGGGGCAGGCACGCAGGTGGGCATTGGGGCAGGCGGAGGCCCCGTATCGCTATGGTTCTTGGCTACGGCTTCTCTGTCCCTGCCTTCCAGTGCCTCCATAAACCATTTTCATGCTCCAGCAGAGCGCTATGACATCTCAGCATGGCAAATGCTGGGTCATCCCAGGGAGCCAGTATTGCTTTGGCAGGGCTGTGAAACAAAAGAAACATCGGCCGCAGAAACACTTCTTTATTCGCTGCTGCTGAAGAAACAAAACCTTCATGTGCAGTAACTTTGCTTTAAACAATAACATTTGTGGATCCTGGTCTTAACCTTTTGCATCTGGCTTTCAAAATCTGCCCTGTTCTTTTTCCATGTGAAAGACTACGGAGCTTATTTTTGTTTTGGTACTGGTGTGCAATGCTGCCAGAGAAGCGCGCTCAAGCTGGCACAGACCGAAGCTGGTGAGCCACCCAAATTATTGTTGGGTGGTTCAGACCCTCTCTATTTCAAGAAGCCTCTGGGTATAATGACAGGAAGCTTGCAGGCAATTTTAAGCCAAACCTCAGAGAAGCTGGCATTCAGTCTGTATTAAACACTCCTTATTAAAAGCTGTCCAGTCCGGATTCTGGGTGGAACTTTGATATCTGCATGGAGTAAAGAATAAGGGGCACGTTTGCAAAATCAATTGTGCAGTTTTTATATTTACTGCACGTTTACCACATATGTCATTTATTACACAGTGGAAAACCGTTAAATGCACAGTAGTTGTGCCAAGTGGCATTATGCTTTTAACAGCTTTATTCGTTTAACAGCTCCAGTTCTCATTATATTTTGCCATGTGGTACATGAGATTTTTATGCATTTAACAGTTTAAGAGGGTTCCATGGTATTTTCCTTTTATGTATTTCATACTGTGCCTGGGATTTTGTTGGGGGGTAGAGGGGTTGTGGACTGTGACCCCTGTACCCTGATAAGAGAAAGCAAAAGGCAAAGAAAATTAATGATAAAATGAGGAAGGAAAAATGAATCAGACCTCCATGTGTCTGGGCACAAATACCTGTAAGAAGGACAACGCTCTCCCATGTGCTTTGATAGCCTTTGATGCTTTGTTTATATGCCTTTCAACCTCTTATTTTACATCTACTTTAATGACTACAACGTTGTTTCCCTGCACAGAGGAAAAGAAAGTATGTATTTTGCAGCGTGCATGCACCTAAATACTTCTATCCCACTCTCTTATTGTCACAGACACATTTGTGCATTTTTGTGGGCATATTGATGCCCTCTCCTAGCACAACCGAGTGATTTCAACCAGGATCAGAAGCAGCCCTCTTCACTGAGTAAACAATTCCTTCCAGCGGTCTCCAACCCACTTGCTGCCCTTCCTACAAGAAATTCTGTCTGTCCTCCCTTCCACAAAATCCCTTCTGGTGCATTATATTTTTTTAAAGAGTTGGATGAAATTTTTAAATTAATGGATTCTCTTCAAGAATTTCATTCCGATCTAGGTTTGCCCACATGTATTTTTAACACCCAAGGTGGAAATTAATTGAGGAGAACTCACTGCAATGCCCTCTCATGCCTTTTTGTAAAAATGATTGGATCTGATGTGAATTACTCACATGGCAATACTGTATGCAGCATATGCAACATGCAAAAAAAGGGAAACACCTGCCTAATATGCGGTTTCCCACTGCCTTCCCTCAGTTAATCACTTAAGAAAACAATTTCTTTACCTGCCAAATGAGAAGGATACCATCATTTTGAAAGGTCCTTGTCCCACTAGCAGAGGTGTAAGTTATATACCACAAGTGGGAAAAGACATGCGTGTTTGTACAAAGGCGGAGAAAAAGCTTGGCTGTGAGCTGATCCTTTCCTCAGCCTATTTTAAAAGGGAAAAGGAAACCACTTAAGCAGGCAAAAGCCAAAAACACGACAGGTTCCCCAGAGATGAAGATTGTTATTATTGTAGGAACAGATGTATTTTTATTGGTGGGAGGAGGACATGGGTCTAGTTCCAACCCCAGAGTTTGCTTTAAAAACAAAACCCCCAAAAGCCCCGCAATAACGAAATCCCCTCTACCACTCACCTGACTTTTATTGGCAGCCACTTTGGCAAACAGAGCTTGAGATACCTTGGCCCTTTTCATCTCCTGTTGGATCTCGTCATAAATGGCAGCTGTGATGTTGACGTTGGCGCCATCCGCCTTAATGGGGAGGTCTGTTGTTGGTGTCGAGGTTTTGGCCTACCAAGAGACCATGAAAATAATAATTAAAAAAGTGCTGCTTTCAGCCCAGCCATCTGTGCAGAAATTATCAAAGGATTTCAGTCAGCTGATGCCAAACTGCATTAGCTACAGAGGGACACTTCCTGTCCATTATTCTAATCAGGTTAATTGTGATTGGAAATAATTGCAGTGCATTCCTATAGGACATGCAAGGCCCTGTCAACTCTCCCCCTCTCCCTCTCCCAGCATGTTTACTGAGCAGCTCAACAACAGGATAGGTAGCCAGGGCACTCAGCTGCAGGCAGTCGCTGAAGTTGGCTTTGCCAGCTAGCTACTGCGGCAGAGGCACCAGCCTCTGCGCTCTCCCCCCTCTCTAAAAGTGGCCTACACCTTGGAGGAAGAGCCAATTCTCCCAGAAAAAATGAGTAAATGGGTAGAGGTCTCTAAATAATAAATTATTACTCAATTTAATGCACTCCCTCAAGTCTCCCTCATCCTTTATTAAAACTATACGTATGTCATTTGAGTATGTATGGTTTCCCAGCCTTATCATCATTATGCTAGCCAGACAGTCACCTAATTTCACCTAGGAAATCAGTGGAAATGAAAAAAAAAAAAAAATCATTTCATAAAGCTGGGCTTTGGCATGCCTTTGATGTGCTGCCCTCATTCTCCTAAACTCATATTGAGATTTTGTGTATTCCGCTGCACTCCTTTTAATTGAATGATTTCCCATCAGCTTCTGTGACAAATGAAGGACAATAACGGACGCTGCCAGTACTTTCCCTGGGCTGGACTACCTCTACAAGGCTTCTATCAGTATAGTTCAGCAGGCTGCTACAAGACTTTTATTTTAAAGCCCCTTGGCCGTGGCGGTCCCCAGAACGCAATGGCAGGTGTGGGAGCAAGGGCGGTGTGATGCTTGCTGAGCGCTCCCGGCACCAGCAGCCCCTTGGAGAGACAGATCTCATTTGCTTTCCTGAAGCTCAAAGAGGAGAGATACCAGGGCTGATCACTGTACCCCTTACGCCTTTTAAGGGAAATATGTAGGTTACTGATAAAAATATTTCTGTTTTCTCTTGGGATTTAACGTCTTAGGAAACAAAACAACCTAGGTGGCAAAGCTCACACTTCCCGATAGAACCAAACCTCCCATAAACCCTGGTGAGATTCAGGTATTTGGCCCAATTATAAACCTTTTGCTGGCTCCTGTTTTTGTGCCAGAGTTGAAGCCTGCTAGAGTACATCTAATGTTAATTTTTAACTAGGCAGGCATGCCCAAAAGCCTATTTGTTAATGGGAAGGTTAACTAGGCAAACCCAAACCTTCTGAACTTCTCCTTCTGTTTTGCTGTCCTGCAAATCTTCCTCTCCCTAGTGTCTTTTTTGTACCAAAGGCCACATTAATACCGGAGCCAAAATCCAATCAAGACAACAATCTAGACTAATCACTCTTCCTACGGCTTCCACATAAAGCTTTAACCAACCTCTGTCTTCTCCCTTTCCTTACCCCCCAAGCTCAGCAGGCACTCCTCTGGGCTTGCTCCCTGCCTGTCGTAGGCAGGACCCACGTAGAAAGGGCCTAAGATTTTCCTGCTAAGGCTAGCCCCCTGCGTTCAGGCGGGGGCAGGCGGACGGCAGCTGGGGCAGACCGCAGCCCCCCACGTCCCGGTGCTAAACCTGCCGCCATCCACAGGCCGTGAACACATGTGGGGTACAGCCCGATGGATGGACTGACAGGGACACCACGCTCTGAAATTCAATGTTCACAGATAGATGAGAGCTAGGGCAATTGTGGGAAACACAAGAAAACAACAAAGAGATCATGGGAAGGAAGAGGACTGTCCAAGTCTGTCAGGACTCATTTAATGGAGCTTAATTTTACCAAAGGCCCTGCAGTGCTTTGACGGGTATAAAAAAAGCCTTCCCAGTCGCTGGAGCCTTTGGCTAGTGCAGCAGCCGAGGTCACCACGGCCTCAAAGGCCATTACAGAGGCCTGAGATCCTGAGAACAACAAAATTAGCATTTAGAAGAAAGATTTAAAATATAGCTTCGTCCCGCATGGGTCTCCTACACTACTAGCTCTGCAGCCACACGTCAGAAAAAAGCCTGCCCCACACACCCTGAAAGCTGCACCATTTTTAATTTAATCACCAAAATACGTAAGGCAAGTACCAAACCAAAATATCACAGTCACTAAAATGAAGTATTTTATGTTAGAAGCCTAGATTCAAAACTGGTCTTGATATTAAGGAGTTTGCCATTAGTGAAATGCATCATTGCAAACACTGGGGAAAAAAGAAAGAAGCGTTTGCAACCACAGCGTCAGAGCGCTGAAACCCAGCCGTTACTGCTGGTCTTCGCCCTGCACACAAGAACCCCGAACAGCTCAGAGCCTCTTCCCCACGCCACTCGCACCCATTTGCTGGATCAGTCTGCCGTTCTCACCTTGGGGCAGGTCCTGAGCAGGGGACACCCCACGAGAGGGGCTGGGGGCTGGCTCAGAGTTAGGGAGAGCTGAGCCGGGTTACTCCGCGTGCCCTCGCACCTGCCTGCACGACTGCCCCAGCACCAGCACTTCCACAGGTATCTGCCAGCGCTCTCCTCCTATCCCGCACACCCAAGCGCCATTCCCAGAAGTATTGCTGCAGGAGATCGGTATCTATGGAAACCGCGTTTCCAAACGCCATTCCACCAACTTCTCCGGCACTCAAACACAATTCCCGAAAGGACGGTAGAGCTCCTACCGCTGCTGCCCCAAAGCACCCCGCTCCGGGGTAGGTAACATACCTGCCTGGGGAGGTGACGCTGCCGGGAATCGCTGCGCTGCACGTGAGGATGGCATTTGTCTCATCAGAACTAATACTGGGCATATGGGGAAGCACAGTCGCCGTGCTGCCTGCCCGGGAGCTGGGAAGCAGCCTCATTTGCAGAGGTGTCCAAGTTGTCAAAACAGCACCTGTGCTGACTGGTGCTGGCCCTCTGAGGGCTGGGGAAATGTTATCCAGCGGGCACAAGGCAAGCACTGGGTACAGAAACCTTTGTGTGTTGCTTTTGCTGATTAAAAGCCTCACAATATTCTACTGGATTCTTCAGGCCGAAATAAGGCAAGGATGGGCTGCTTTATACTTCTAGAATATGGTTTTCTAGCAACGCTTAGCTCTTGAAAAGGCGGGCAAAATTTCTGTGATTTTAAATGATGTTCTAGCTGTGGCTAGGACACGGGAAAATGTCATATTTCGACAGAGGAATGAGGTGAGGCAACAGATCCAACTTTTATTCTCACCGGATTGCACCTAAACTCTCCATTTCCTTCTGTTATTTGACTCCAGTTGCAAAATCTATTGCAATAAATATAAGTAAGGAATAAGCTAATTCTTTCATTAATAAATACAAAAGCAGAAAGTGGATATACTACTTAAACATGAAAGCAGTTCCCTTTATAATTTTATTTTCACTCAAAGGCGACTAAAAAAGATAAGAGGTATACAATGAGTTTCCTATGTAACAAAAATTCAGTGTCAAATTTGGGTTGGCAGGCTATGCTTGCTTTCAGTGAGAACAGTTCTTTACATTATGTATTGTGGTGAAGTGCACCCAAACACCGGGTTAAACTGAACAAGCTCAACAGTTTCTACAAAATCAACACATGCCCCCCCCCCCCCCCACCCCCCACAAGCTTACTTATTTTTAGCAGCTGTGGCTACAGAATTCAACGCGAGAAGTGCTCATCAATACTATTATTAGCATGGCGAACACAGCCCAAGACTTTGCAGACTACGTGACTGCGAAAGCACCAAAGCATGAGGGTTATACAGGCCCATTTATGAAAGATCAAGAGAAGTGCTAGAACTGACCCCTCATGTCCGCACAGTCAGAAATTTCAAACTCAAATGGCAAATGTCGTGACGGGAGTTAATCATCACCTCTGTGCAAGCACCCTCGCTTTTTCAGAGTATATGTCTGGGACTGTGAGCAGTCTCATAAAAGGGGGGGGATGACTATTACGGTGTAGTATGTGGATGCTCTTTCTTAGTGCAAAGGAACAACCTACCAGGGAAGTGGGCGGCAACAGCACGTTAATAAACACATGCAGTTAAGTCAATGATATGACAGCTCGTTTGGAGCTGTAAAGCATCATCTTCCTGCCCAGCACCCTGCCCATCTCTACGTTCTGTACTTCAAATAATTACGGGTGTAAACATCTAACTCAAGGACTGTGATTTGCTATGCAGGATACGGAGTGCGCTGGTTTCTAGCAACATCTATCTGATTCACTGTTGACCTCTGTTCACTACACACTTTTTATTGCAACATATATGAACCTCTCCACAAGCCCAGAAATTTTCCTCTGTGTTCTGCAGAATGTAATGGACACAGATAAAAAGTTATGTGCACTGTATTTCTATACTATGTTCTATAATAGCCGTTTAGTGGATGTATATCAACAGCCTGTATGTAATGCCCACATGCACTCTTTCAGGCACTAATGTTACATACTTTTTTGCATTTATGGCATTGATTAAAGCTAGAATCATCATCACAATGTCTTGCTGAAATCCACTAAACGCCTCTTAACAGCCACTCCAAAACCTTACAAAAGGATTTCCACAACTCATCTGGGTGAGGGGGGCAACAGACAGGGAGGGGAAGGGCAGAGAACTCCTTCCCTGAACTAATCCACACAACAAACAAGTAAAAAGGGATCGCAGCTTACCTGGGGGGTTCTGGAGGAGCTTGGGCTGCTGGCGGCTGAAGACACCATGCTCACATTGGGGTTCATACTTCTCTCTCTCTCGTCCTGATAGATACGATCCCGCTCCGAGTCAGGCAAGTTGAGGAAATTCTGCATTGCCCTTAAGTTTACCAGGAGGGACTGGGAAGCTGTCCTAGGGTCTTCTTCTTTACGCAGGATCTCTGACAACAAGCCCTGGTTCAAAAAATTTAAAAAAAAAAAAGAGGGGGAAAAAAAAAAGCCCTGTCATGTGTTGGGTTTGGGTTTTTTTTTTCTTTTGGTTTGGTTTTTTTTGTTTTAATTTGTTTAGTGTAACCAGCTGGGTTGCAATACTGAGAACCTACATCAGAATCTCATGGGCTCTCCCAGAGGGGATATTTTGTAGGAAAGTGTTTTTCTTCTTGGGTCTGGGGTTTATTTTGGGACTGTCCTATTCTGGCACTGTAATAAGCTTCTGAGTATGGAGATGCTGGATAGAAAGGTAGGTGCATTGGGTAGAAGAAATTGCAGTTACCACCAGGTGCTTGCTGCAAATATTTTAGGAGCTGTTAGATCTCTCTCTCTCTCTCTTTTTACTTGAAGCTGGGAACACTTGGCAATCCTATTCATCTTTGACAAATCTGCCAAGGTTGGTAAATTTAGTTTCGACATTTAAACAGTGCAGGAGGTTTATAAAGAAAAACGTTTGGCTTGTTTTTGATGTTACAGTCCGTTCATTTTGGTTTGGACAGTCATTTCTGAGAGGAGAAAAATGGAGCAATAATAAAGACCTAGAATCTAGCTTTAGGGACTTAACCTGTTCTTTCACGCCTCATTTTAAAATACCACGGTCTTCACATTGCAACCATGAATGAACACCATATTCATCTCATTTTTACAAAAGTCGTTATTCCAGGAGGTAACCAGCACAGCACTTCCAAAAAAGGGAAAAGAAAAAAAAAAAGAGTTGGAGAGATGAAAATGTCATTAAAAGAGGCTTAAATCTAATGATGGGATTAAATTTATGCATAACTGTATGCATTCAACAATTCCACAGATTATCTAGAAGTTAAAGGCACAACACACAAGCCTGGATCAGAGCCTACAGAAACTACCAGGACACAGCGTGTGCCACCAGCTTCCCCCCGGCACCCCTTCGCATCCGACACTTGACAAATAGGTATTTTACTCCAAAAAGCAGTAACAGCAATTTCCTGAACTATAGATGTTTAAAAGTACTGGTGTGCAAAGAAGCAGAGAGGGATCATTTCTGCCCATCGAGACTAGGTATATCATAAGAATGGTGTATATCATAAGAAATATCATAATTTTAAAAGGCTATTCTGCCAATACATCTCCCTGAGCAGTCCAATACGCTTCCCGCTCCCCATGACCCAGAGGCTCTCTGCACTGCTGCTCCCAGGAACGCCGGCCACAGAAACCATGTGAAATCCCAGTGGGAGCTGGGAGAGCTCACCTCGACCTACTGCTGAGAGAAGCAACATTCAGCAACTGCATGCAAAGGCACACTGCAGTGCCCCAGACACGATTTAGCTGTCGCTGTTGACATGAGCATTTTGCAGTTTTTTTTACAGCCACGACTGAGGCAAGCTGCCTCAAAAGTATAGTCAAGGCTTACTCCTTTCTTGTAAGAAGAAAGTTACTAGAAAACAACCACGTAGTCAAAACCCTGTAATATTTAGTCTTAGTTTGTTTTCTTCTGTATCAGGCAGGCAGTCTCCTCCAAAAAGCCTTGCTAAAACACTGCCACGACAGTTGGCCAATTAACCAAATGCCAACATTTTTAGTATATATTGATCTTGTTTACCAGACTTCCTGACAAAACCAACAGACCAGCAACAACTTATCTCTATCTGCGTTTATCTGCTATCTGCTATTAAACACCTACATTAAAACACATACATGAAAGCTCTACTTCAGCAGCGTTGATGCCAGAAGTGCTCAAAACAAGCTACACACACAACCTGAAGGTAGGCTGCTCACCTCCATTTTTTCAGCTCCTCATCTACGTAATCAAGCTAAGAGATTCCCAATTACATTTTCCTGCAATTATCAGAGTAGTTACCAGAAGGACTGGAGCTGGAATGGAGCCGCGGTGGGACCCTCCAGTCAGAAATGGGATTGGAGAGAGAAGCCGGCTGGTGAAAAAGGTCTACACTGGGAAGAAGTTTGAAGAAGGTGCAGTGCTGAGCTGGCCCTGGGCTGGCCTCTTCTATTCTCTGTGATCTCAACACAACTGCATGCTCATACTTGGCTGCTTCCTCAGGGTTTACCACCCCTCAGAGAAGCTAGGAACATTTTGAAAAGCCTTCCAAAGTTTGCCAGGCTCACAGACTGAAGGAGATTAACCAAAAAAGGACATTACAGAAGCTTGAAGCCATGACTTGAATGAATCCAAGATCAATACAGCAAGTCCCTATTATAATTTTCCCTTAAAGTCAGTGGAAATGACTGTAATGCAGTAAATAAATGAAATGCAGTAAATAAATGAAATATCAGTTCCACAGATTCTCTAAATTCTTAATTTTGGGGGTCTTTTAAAGGATACATAGCTTCTTTTTTTTATAGAAAAGACCAACTTAAAAGTTTAGGCTGAAAGAAAGGCACCTGAAAGCTACTGGAGCTGACTCTAAGACAGCTTTCTCTCCCTCCCATCTTAGCCTGGCTAAATTTATGGTCCAATTTCAAAAATGGAGAGCAGAAACATATGTGAAAGCATGCCAGCAATTACTTTTCAGTGCAGTCATTGACTCCCTATGTAAATCAGAGGCTCAGAGGTACAAGTGGCTTGGTCATGGCACTAAGAGGTATCTCGCTGCCTGAGATACCAGCTCTTGTGCTTGGAGGCTCTGATTCATCACCAGAAACAGCTTATCATGGGCTAGATTCAGTAGTTTTGAACCCTAGCATGTGCCTCCTGCTTCTACAAGGGTCTCATCTCTGCTACAGGAATGTAGCAGTATTTTGCATCGCTGCTGCTCAATCACTAGGCTGGGAGCCTCACCTCCTAATGCAGGCAGCTGCTCCAGGGAGAGGACTAGCTCCTTCCCCCGGGCAGCTCCTCACGGGGGCCGAGCTGTGCTCCCCCACACCTCGCTCCAGGCCCACAGGTAGGAAACCTGGTTGCAAAGAGGGTTTTTCCGCAGCTCCTCCAAGTGCTCTGGCAGCTTAGGAACCATGTGAACAGCAGGATAGATAATAAGAGAACTGACTCAGAGGGAAAAATCTCATGTCCTCCTGCAACCGAAGAGAAACAAGGCTGGTAAACAACAGTGGCTAGATAGCTGAGTGATAGGGTAGGACGACAAAATAAAGTATCTGGAGAGCAATAACGTTTACAATAATGTAATTCTGAGCTACTGAAGTATACACAAACTAACCAGTGAGCAACATTATAAAAAATAAAGTGATATTAAATAATCTGTTCAGCCTTTTTGTCACCTGCAACAAATTAGGCTTTCAATATGCAAAACATCTTCCTTCCAGAAAAACAAATGATCATGATTTCATTTAATTGTAATTTAATGAGGCATAATGTATTTTTTAAAGTGATATACACCAGGTGTGTGGTGAGGAAACTGGCCCAGCCAGACAAACCCTACTGTTTCTATTTTTGAGAAAACCCTAAAGCCAGGGACTGTTTTCGTTTCTGCAAATTATGTTTCTGCTGGAGGGGGTGAGGGAGGGAAACCCACAGCATTCGTACATTTGTTGTAAAATTCCATTGGCTAAATTAGCTCATTCTGACTTACGTCTCACATATTAAAAAAAAATTTAAAAATTGGCAGTTTGCAGAGTAACCAACTCTGCAAACTGAAAAGAAGATCTTCAGGGACTAGAAAGTCTCAAACTGATTTTAAATAGCCAAACAGATCTTCTATACCAAACACAGCTCTCAGAATACATTTTAGGACATGTAGCTTGATAATATCTTTGCTTTTTCACTCCTGTGCATCATTTTTAAACCAGCTGCTGAAGAGGCAACTGATGAAAACTTTAATGTTCACATAGGCCATGCTCACAAATGAGGTGTGCACTCACTCCAAGACAAGGACTCTGAGCAGGCACAGTTTGGTCTACCCTTGGAACTTGCACCATTTTTAAAATTATACACTGGATCCATAATTGACTTTACAAAAATAATACCAGCGGTGGAGAAAGGAGCACATGTCCAATCAAAATAAAGAAGTCACTGGATCTATTTAAGGTAAGAGTAATTCTGAGAGTGTTTTTTCAGACTAGCCGAAATGTAGTCTTTCAAGCTAGCATAGTTGCTGTCATGGAGGTTTGCTGTGCACTCACCTCTATGAAACTCCGTTTGTGAACTCACTTCTTTTATTTTTATGAACTACCGGATTTCCAGGACAAACAACCCAAACCTCATGGGCAAGAAATCTTTTTTTAAGCAACTTCTGGAAAACGATGCAGTACAATGTAGAGCGAATGTTATTCAAACGGACTCCTACATCCAAAGGACCAACTGACCAGCCTTCGAGGCCAACACAAAGGCTCAACCAAAGCCCACAGAAGGCGAGCGAAGCCTTTCTGCCTGCTTCCCAAAGGGCTTTGGCTCAGACCTGGAAAGGGTGTAAATGAGATCTCTGTGGGACAGCAGACTGCACTACCAGTGACCAAACACAGGACAGTTTTCCAACCAGAGCTTTTCAAAGCAATCTGGATGGGGGTGAGGAGGTCATGCTGGAGTGCAGCCCAGACACCGATGTCCTGGGGACAGAGGAGGATGAGGGCCATCAGGCAGCAGGAGACTTGCAAGCACTGGCCAGGACCTCACACGTGTCAGGTCCGATGGCCTGGATGGGAGCTGTGCTCCCCCTCGTACAGACCCAAGCAATGCGTCTACTAGAGCAGGCACTAAGGTTAAAAAGGTTCAAACAGGCTTTGGACAATCGAAATGCTGGCCAAGGCAAAAACTTAAATAAACCCAACTAATGTGCTAAACCTCAGTTTTTATGTTCTGCATAAGGAGATTATATATATGAAGGACTAAAAAAGCATAAACACTTTTTTCATACTTTCGGTTTATTTGTGCCTCTCCATACTTCAGCTATTGCCAAAAGCAACAGAAAAAATGCTGAAATACTAGAAAAATATTGCTCCTGTAGTACTTAAAGCTCCAAGCACTTTCAGCCCAATACTTGTAACTGACAGTCTCAAGAGAACAGCTAATCTGCTTC